GGGGGGGTAGTCGGGGCAGGCAGTTTGCACTTTGGACCGCGTTAAACTGATATGCTTGATAAACAAGGCGGTGGCGGCGGCGCGGCTTGTGGTCCGGAGCGGGCCGACCAAGAGCCGAGCGACCCCGGAGGCTTCGAGTGAGGGGCGGGACGACAAACAGAGGGGCTTCGGCTCCGGCGGTGGTCTTACCCGGGCCCCGCCACCGCATCCGGTCGCGCGCGCACCCGACCAGCACGAGCCGGAGCCATTCGTCTCCTCCACGCCAAACAAAGAGCGTATACGGCCCGCTCTCGCCGTGACTAACAGCTCAGGCGGGTGGGTGTAGTGGCCGAGGGGGTTGCCTACCCCGCAGGCACCCGCCCCGCCCTGCCACGCACCGCCACGCCCCGGCGGCAGCGGCGGTGCAGGCACAGCAATTACCGGGATGGTCGAGGGCGGAAAGTTTGTTCAAGTGGCACACGCGGCGCCACGCAGCCAGGGGCTGCCGGTGTGAGGGAGGGAGGGAGAGCGACTCGCCGCGGCCCCAGCCGGCGCGGAGGGCGCGGGGAGGGAGCGAGACAGGTGTATAGGGGGTTGGTAGGTAGCAGGGATTCTCGCACAAGTTGTAGCGGGGCGGCACGGGGCGGGCACGCGCTGAATTTAACGGATACTTTTTCCCTCCCTTCTCTGTCTCTCTCTTTGTCTCTCCCTCTGTCTCTCTCTCCCTCTCTCCCCCTCTCTCCGTCTCCGTCTCCCTCTCCCTCCCTTTCCCTCTCTCTCTCTCGCTCTCTCTCCCATTCACTCTCTCTGGCTGCGGCGGGGGCCTGGAGAGGCAGTGGCAGAGGTTTAGAGAGATGGAGAGAGAGAGAGGTGTTCTGCGTGGCGCCCGAGCCGGGACCCAGCAGCCCCAGGAGGGCGCAATGGCTCGACACGGGCCCGCCCTGACTGCCTCGTTACATGTAGCCACACCCGCCGTGGGCCGGGCGGCAGAGCCGGACGGCCCGGCCTGGGGCGGGGCGGGCGACTCGAGTGCCCCTCTGCCGGCGGGTTTGGGTCCAGCCCGGCAGGACCTTGCTGCTGCTGCTCCTCGACGCCCTTCCTCCCTGCTCTCCCCCGTCCATGCCGTCCTTCGGCTCCTTTGGTTCCCACAGAGTTGCCCCTTCAGGTATACATGGAAGAAAAGGTCCTGGAAAGGAGAAGGGCGGGAAGGGGCATTATTTCTCTTTGTGGCCCTCTTTGGCCGTGCAGGGACCCTGTGCAGCTGGGGGGCGGGGGACCGGACCAGGCGAGCAGGTGAATAGGTGGCTGGGTCACCCTGCTGGGCGAAGGCAACACCCGGCGCACCTTTCTCTCTCCCTTTCGCTCTCCTCTCTCACTCTGACACACACTCTCTCACTACCCCTACCACCCACCGGGGGCCCCACACCAACTCCTCTGTCACCGGGAAAATTTTTCTTTTGGCGTAGCTGTGGGGCTTCGATCGGAGGAAGGGATGGGAGATTAAATATTGGAAAGTTATGAAAGAGACGCAAGATAAGGACCCAACTAATTGAAGAAAAACGCATGGATTATTTTACGTCTGGCCGGGCGGTTCTGGGAACTTTCATGCCTGTGGCATTTAAGATAAAATCGTTTTGCTTCCAAGGAAAACTGCCACTACAAGAATGAAGCGTAAATATTATTTTCCGTCTCTGCTTCATTTACAACTCGTTCTTTGCCATTGTGGAGGCTTTTTTACAACCGCTTATCGATAGCGAGATAAAAAAAGTATAATTAACCCGTACAACAAAATGATTTATAACATATTTCAACAGTGTAACTGCGCACTTTTTTCAACAATTTGAATTACGCTGCGCAGCGTAATAATTGCGCACTTTGGAGTGCTTAGCTTAGAGTGCTCCTCGTCCTGGTCACGGCACACAAGGTGCCACGCCTACTCCACTCCCCCACAGACGGTCAGTCTGCTCGGCGAACCCCCGCGGCCTTGGGGTGGGCTGCCTTACGACTTCCTGCAGGTAGCGTTTATCCCCGCAGGGTTGGGCCTGGATGTGCATCAGCATCATCCCCTCCCCGACCTAACCACCAACCAACGGAAACAACAAATACAAACACCCTCCCCCCCCAAAAAAAAAAAAAAAACAGAGGGGAGAAATGTCGTCGTCCTTTCCGTGTTTGCGATGACTACCTCGTCCAGAACGTTTTACAAACAATTTTGTTTTTGCGGTGCAAAGAACTGAAGAGTTTCAAGCGATCCGCTTTGACTGGGCCACCCCCTCCCCTGCGGCCGCCCGCCCACGCCCACCCCATTGACATTTCCGCAAACATTATTCCACATCGGGTGCTCATCGGGGCCGTCGGAGAGCAAACCGAACGCATAAATCGGCGTGTGCTTTGCCCAAAGCGGCGCGGGGGCGTCCAGCGGCCACGTCGGGCCGCATCAAAGAGCCCGCCCGTGACGCGGGTAATGAAGAGCGCCCAGCAGACTGATTCAGAAGAGCGCTCTCCTCGCTCCGTCTCTCTCGCACCTGTACGGCGCGCCCCGTGAGTGGGAGAGAGACGGAGCGAGGAGAGCGCTCTTCTGAATCTCTACACCGTGGGACGGCAGCTGTAGATGAGGGGGGGGGGGGGGGCGGCAGAGAAGCTGGCTATACGTACTACTCAGTGCCGCTCCTATCTGGCTCAACTCGGCGGCTGACTGCTCGGCCAGGCTGCCACGGAGGCTCCCCTTGTGCTGTCCCCGCCCGGCAGGCAGGCAAGGGTGGGATCAGTCCAAATAAATTACCCCATTACCAAAGTTTACGCAAACGCGATGAATCGACGACGGGTCAGGCCACGCCGCCCGGGGGAGTCTCGTGACGCGACGAGGCGACCCGACACTGCTTTATCCGTCGTCCGCGTGGCGATGCGGACCGACCCCCCCTCTTTCCCCCCTTTTTTCTCATTAACATTTTCCTCTCTTATTCAATACAACAGCTTTCTCCGTCTGACCAATAAAACGTAGCATTCCCCGGCGGCGTCGCTCTGCTTGCGCGGATTTTTCGTTTTGGTATAAACGAGTTATCATCATTATTTAGTCGGTTTCTCTTTTTTTTTCCTGATTGAATCGCACTCACCAGTCCCGAGTCGGAGGGCGTCTCCCCGGGGCTGCGGCCGTAGCTGGACACGAGTAGCAGGCCCTCCACCGCGTCGCCGAGGCTGCCCGCCTCGCAGCTGAAGTCCGGGCTCGTCCACCACGCGTCCTCGGGCGCGCCCTGCAACACCCAGGCGTAGTCCTCGCCGACCACTCCCAGCCCCAGCGCCTGAAGAAGAGAAAAGAGTTGCCAATGTCAACAAACAAGTTTCAAATTTAGGCAAAAAAAATATTAATACCAATTGCAGACAGTCCAATTTTCGGGACTTTTACAAAATTTATAACCATTCCTCATTCCTCTCTTTCTGGTGTATTTTATCAGGCAAGTTCCATAATTCTACTTGGTGTATTTTATCAGGCAAGTTCCATAATTCTACTTGTAAGATATTTTTTTCCCGGAGTACCGGCAGCCCGCTTCCCATCGATTTCCAAAGACTCCGTCTGTTTTATAGCGCCCTGTAATTGGGTACCCGTTTCCTTTGAAATACAAGCAATATCGGCCCTCGAATACAAAAGGGGAGGATGTTTCCGAAGACGTCCGCGAGGCAGGACAGGAGAGAATCACCCTGCTTCGCCCTTCCCCCTCCCTGTCTAAGGTGCCATGAAAAGTATTGCGGCCAAAGTTGGCGGCCTAGGGGAGAGGGGAGGTG